ATGGCCGAATTTTATAACAGTTGTTATTTAGAGTTACATTAGTAAGTAATCTAACTTTTGAGCTTTTCCGTAAATTTACTTTGGTGGCCGTAACGTATTTAAATCGCCTTTGTACTGCAACGTAAGATCTTTTGTCTTTGGTGTTTTGCTAGTGACAAGTGCCGTATTAATTTTTGATACTTTCCGTAAATTTATTTTGCATTAAATTTGCCGCACAGTAGGTATTTACCGTTTTTGCTTTTTCTTGCACAGAAAATTCTACCGCTGTGTTTCTTTGCAAGGCAAGCCTTTGCCAATTTCAGTTCTATTATTTATAAAGGGGGGATATTCTTTCGCTTTCCTGCATTTGAATTCCCGTAGCTACCGATAATTAATTTGCGCTTTGTTGGTTGCGTTCTTGTTGCAGCAATCGCTACCGTGTCCGTATGCCTTAATTCTGCTTTCAGATCCTTCGCTAGAAGCCGATCTCCACCGTGTTATCTGTGACATCCGATTCGCTGCCGGTCCGAAACCCTGTTCAGGGACAAGTCCGTATCTCTTGGTGGCGCTCGAATCCGCCCATCCGTCCCGTTCCGTCAGATTTCCTTTGAGTTGGAAGTGATTTATACTTAGTTTCTTTATACTTAATTGATTTCATATAAATAATTACACCGTTTACCGATTGCGCGCAAACTACCAAAGTTTTTCGCAATCGCCCTTGAAGTTTTTTCCAACGTCAGCTTCCAATGTCTTTATTACCGTGAAAGTTCGTTATTAAAGGGCTTTATAAATGGTTTCGTCGGGACATGTGCCCTCCAGTTCCTTTAAACAATGTGCAGTTATTACAACAGGAGTATGTCAAATACTTAGGCTTTCACCTGGATAACGGTCTTAAGTGGACCAAACACATTTTTGAAAAAAGGAAGTAAGTTGGCATGGAGTAAAGGAAACTACAGTGGCTCACAGGACGATCCAAATGGTACGGTAAGAATCTGCACTGTCCCACTTCTCTCGCTGGTTGAATCTAGCCCGTTAGAAGACCTACCTTCTTCGGCTAGTGTGCCCTAACAACCAATAGAAAACCCGCACTTTCGACATGTGCTCGGTTTTAAACAGAAAACTTTGAAGTTCGCTTGTTATCGCCAGACGTAATTTTGTTCATGTTGGCTATAAAGCGGTTTTTTTTTGATACGGCAACGATGACCACCTGTCTGCCTGTTACCTGTCTTTACATAGATTGGAAGTAGCGTATCAACGCCTGTTGGGCAGTCCAATCTATTTTTAAGTGACAACACAATAATAGCTATTTATATATCAAGTACATAAACTGGGTCTTTATGGACGAGCCGTTTATTTACAAATAAACAAGGCGAGTCCCCATAAAACCTATTAATGGACGCGATATATACAAAGCTTTATGTACGACTGCAACAACCCTTAAAAATGAAAATTTCATGGAATTCAATAAACGATAAAATCTATATATCATTGACAGCAGATGTCAAGCATTTGTCAAGTATTTCTAAAATACTTGAATTGAATTTACCTTGGATTGACACCTAAGTACGACTGTCACATTGACAGGGGGCCGTTTTACTTTATCATTATGGACTAGGCCCTAATATTGCAAATTATGGCCACTAATTGCGACACTGTAATCACTGCATTATCAAGCAGTGGTACATAAACAATTATTATGCGGTGTAGAAAACTATGATGAAATCAATAAGAACATGAGGGATGGTTTTGTCTGCGGTCCGAAACAGTTCACTGTGCTGCAATATAATTGGCAGTCTTAACAGTGATATACTGTAAGAAGCGCCAACTCTTTAAACAACATTGAATTGAATGGTAAAGAAAAGGGCGAGAAAATTTATTTTTTCAGTGCGTTTTTTTTCATATAACTAAAAGCACGATTTGTGCTGCTAAACCAATTTCTCAAAAGTTCGCTAATCGAATTATTTAAAGAAAACGTATGACGAGTATACCAAAATTAATCTGCACTCAACACATATTGTGAGCTAGCAACCCTTAAAAGATTAAACACCTCGAAGCGAAAAGCGAAAAACGAATGAATGCTTGAAAATCTTTTCTGCTTTTAGTTTAGAAAAGTGCTTAGCGTTGCAATTACACGATGTAGAGTCGGGCACACACCTCCTGCAGAATAAACGATTTCAACTACTGCAAACTTCCGAAATTAAATGCGCGCTCTACTCGACGACTGTTCTGGTATTCCACATTCGAACCCACTGCAGACCGGAATTATTGATTTCGGTCCAAATTGCCCGCAATAAGGGACGGAAAGTTTCCACCGCAAACAAATATTTTATCGATACGCGATCCCGGTAATGCAATGCAAAAATATTGTGTCACAATTTTCCGGTCAAGTGATTAATACGATTGGGTTGATCGCAAATTAAACCTACCGATCTGCATGCTTTCAAAGTCCACCATCATAAAGGGCGCGGGGTTCGGTACAAAGCTCATTCGCATGCAGGAATTACGAATTAGCATTAGCTTTGTTCTTTTCTAACTATATTTCGTTAGGATAACGATGGGACCAACTTATGTAATGAAATGAATCCCTCGGTAACAGAGGCCGAGAGGGTATGCGTTAAACAATTACGTTGTTTTGGGGCAAACTTTGCTCACTCGCAAGAACGACCATCTATTTAGTTACAGAAAAGATGGGAAGGGAGAATGAGATAATGCTCTTTTGTAAAAGACTGTGTTTTAAACTACGTCGCGCACTTCATCGATGTGTCAGTATTAATCTTATACAGATAATCGTTACCCTGTAATTAACAGCTATTGCACTTTGTGCATGTGTTACAAGTCAGATGGAAACTAATTGGATTTGTACCAAAATGACATATGCAATTATGTATACATCCATGAATTAGGCAAATTGCTTATAATGGATAAACCGGTAAACGTACATGCGCCTACTTCTTTAGGAAAGTATCTGTTCACAGTTGTTCTTAAATTGATTTATAACATTTTATAACACTTCTAATTACAGTCATCTTTTTAACACTTAATTTATAACACGAACGCATGAACGTGAATCCTTGTGGTAAACTGGTACAGCGGCACTAATTCACTGACAGTTTTAAGGATTCAATGTAGCACTCATTGGGGCCGAAACATAAAGGTACCGCCGTCCCAGAACCAAACGTAGCGTTAGGGAACAAATTTTTGTGTTTGTCAATTAATTAACTGTGTGTTTAATCGAACCCAAAGCGCAACCCAGATAGAGTTTTTATGTCAAATTTTTTATTAGTTCCCAAAAATGAGGTCAGGTGTTTAGAGGATTTTTTGGAATTCTCGGGAGTGACAGGAGTTCATCCAGGTCTTTCAAATTAATGAAATTTAAATGTGCATGTGATATTCAATGTATATGACTAAAAATCACATGAAACCATTGCGATTATTCACAAATGTCGCTAATGTTTTATAACTTTACTGTAAACTACCCCCTTAGGTACTTCTCCACCATTCTGGTGGATAATTTAATTTAAGTGAGCGTTGAATTTAAGGCATCGTGTTACTGTAAACCGTCTAACGAGCATAACACCTCGTATTAAAACTTCCATGCTCCCTCGAGGGGGGCGTTCCAAAGGGTGAAATCACCATGGAAATTTAGTAGGTGAACATAATCGCCTGCCGGATTGTGCGACTGGCAAATATCCCCAATTGGTTTTACGAAAATGCACTTACCTGCTTATGCGTCATTAAGCTGTGGTTTCCATTACTTCTTAATGTAAATTTTCTCTAAAAGAAGGCGCACTTCACTAAATAGGTACTGGCACATTATCTGCAACAATGCGAGCAAATGTCAAAGTTTTTATTAAAGGGCAAACACGTGTGTACAAAAATTTAATAAAAGAGAACGAAATTGAAAAGAAAAACTTTATACATGAGAGCAGATCTAAGGGAAATTCTTATTTTCATATGTCACACCCTTATCAAATATGAAAACATAAATTAAATACACGTTCCCTGTACACTTGTCGCGTGGAAATGGGTCCCTAAGCGAACGAGATCCTGTTCGAAATTTGCTAAAGCGAAATTAAGATTCCTTTCGAATTTTCATTTGCGTTTCAGATTTACGCCATATCAGTTCAGCTCAGGCGATAAGCGTTCCATTAGAATTCATCTCATGCATTTTTTTTTCGGTCTAATGAGTTTTCGTAAAAGCCGCCATTGACGACCATTTACTATGTATTCAATCACCGCGGTCATTAATAATTTTTCGAGCGACAAAAGTCAATTTTAAAATATCGACGTTATCGGAAGATTACGCTTTCTGCAGTAAAGGGAAGTTAAATGGGCCGTTTCTAACGGCAGACGTTTTTTTGCGTCTTCGACCCTTGTTTCACCGAATACCAATTACGTAAAATAAGTCTGTGCTGCTTCCTTTGTGAAATGCATATTATACAGGTTGCTTAGGACACACGTCTTTTCTCCCCATTTACATTTATACAGACATATGGATTCGAGTCGTTATAATTTCAAGCTGAAAACCTTCTACGTAAATAGTACTTTTTCATTTAAGAATATAAAACCAATTTCGTAAAACACTCACCATTTTCGACGTTTCGCGAATTGAATTTCTTTGTTTTGTTTACGCATTGGGTGTATGAAACATATTATGTCAACATCTTAAATCGAATTTTTACATTTTCCCATCCTCAGAGAAAATATGTATGCCCAAACAGAAAACTTCTCAAATTAGAAACGTGACAAATGTTCTTCGCGACCTGCAGATCGCGTACCACAATTTCGTACGTTTTCACTCTTTTCCGGTGTTATTGACTCTTACCTAATGTGATATATTATATTGTCCGGGTCGAAGAACAATTTGACAAGAGCTTTTAAATTAAATTTATTATGACGGTTTTTTATATTTTTCTAACAACCTTATTTCTATGGCAACATTTTATAATTATTCTGTGAACTTGATAAAAAAAAAATACAACATTTCTCCACCCTAGTAATTGCCTATCCTCCAGCAATTACTACTGCAGGTCAAGTACAATGAGTTTGGACAGTGCTCTTCGGTATACTTTTCCATTCCCATCCTTGACGTCAACTATACGAATTCTACCATCTCTGGCAGGATACGTTTTAACTACTCTTGCTTTTCGCCAATCATTTCTTGTTCCATTTGGATCAACAATTATAACAATGTCATCAACTTTGATATTCTTCTGTTCTTGATACCATTTGGACCGTTTAATAATTGTTGGTAAATAGTCATCAAGCCATCGCTTCCAAAAGAAGTCTGCCAAACGCTGAGCTGACCTCCAACTGTTCATAAGATTAAGATCTCGATTGTCAGTAGTCACAGTCCAAGGTTGTGCTACAAAATCTGGTCCGATCAGGAAGTGATTTGGTGTTAGAGGTTCAGAGTCATGAGAATCGGAAGAAACGTGTGTCAGAGGTCTGGAATTCAATATATTTTCGCACTCTATGAGGAAGGTTCTGAGTATATGTTCTTGAGGATACCTAGTATTCAGAATTTCCTTTAATATCTTCTTTATGCTTTGAATTTGCCGCTCCCATATGCCGCCCATATGTGGTGCATGTGGAGGATTAAAATGCCATTTAATTCCTCGCAAAGAACAAAATTCTATTATTTCATTTTGTTGTAAATTGTCAAGATGTTGCGAAATTTCCCTTTCAGCCCCTCTAAAGTTCAATCCATTGTCACTATGGATTTCGTGAGGAAACCCACGTCTACAACCAAATTGCCGGAGTACATTTATAAAAGCATTAGTCGTGAGGTCATGAGCAATTTCTAAGTAAACTGCCCTGGTTACTAAACAAGTGAAAATAACTCCATACCTTTTCTCTCTGCTTCTCTTCACTGCAACTTCAAAGGGTCCAAAATAATCCACTCCACATTTTATGAATGGTCTGATTGTTGGTTCTATTCTGCATAACGGTAATTGTCCCATAATTGGTATCATGGGATTGGCTCGCCTATTGCTACAGTGCTGACAATTATGGAAAACATTTTTCACTGCTTGTCTCATACGTAAAATCCAAAATTTACATCGTAATTTGTTGAGTACTATTTCTTGTCCAAAATGATATGCATTTTCATGATAATGTTGAATTATCAGTTTAGTTATTCTATGTTTCGGGTCTAATATTATCGGATGTTTCGTATCGAAATTCAAAGATGAAGAATTATTCAATCGTCCATCTAGCCTCATCAACTTGTCCTCTTCTCTGAACGTACAAGACAATGAAAAGAGGCGACTCGTTTTCTTGATTATTTGACCTTGTTGTAACATCTTGTATTCTTCTAGAAAAGATTCCATCTGTACCTTTCGATAAAGAATAATTTCAGCTTCATACAACTCTTCAACGGTAATTTCGTTCCGGATGAAAACTTTTGCTCGTAGTATGTTTCTTACTCGGATTATGTAGGCTGTAGCTCTAAGAAGTCTCGTCCATTTTGAAAATCTTTCAGGATTAGGAATATCAGGGATCAAATCTTGTGCTGAAAAGTTGATGCAAGTATACTCCAGTCTTTTCATTTCTAAATTGTCTGAATCAATTTTCAAATCATGTTCGATTTCTCTTGGCCATTCCTGGGAATTCAATAGTAGAAACTTTGGCCCACATATCCACCTAGAATCTGCTGATACTGAGGAGTTGATAACATATTTCGTCGCTTCGTCCGCAACGTTGTCTGAAGATCTAACATATTTCCAGTCAGTTACACATGTTAATTCTTGAATTTCACCTAGTCTTTGGGCTACAAATACTTTAAAACGTCCAGCTTCCGATCGAATCCAATGGAGAACTGTTTTTGAATCAGTCCAATATGTCGTGGATGAAATATTCAAGTTTAAATTCTTCATTAGATAGTTACCTAAGCGTGCACCCATTAATGCCCCTTGAAGTTCCAACCTTGGTATTGACATAGGTTTTAAAGGAGACACTCTTGCTTTGGCATTTACGAAACTGACCTGTACTTCATTTCCATATTGTATTCTCAGATAAGCTACTGAAGCATAGCATCTTTCTGAAGCATCGCAGAATATGTGCAGCTGCAAATGACTTGAACTCCTATCGAATGTGAAATATTGTCGTGGTATCTTGAAATTATACATTTTCTTCAATTCCTCAATCCATATGTTCCATTTATTCGCCAAGTTATCTGTAATTTCGTCGTCCCAACCTAACTGGCTCCTCCAAACATCCTGTATCAGCATCTTACCTTGAATCAATATGTTTGTCTTTGTAATAAATCCCAGTGGATCAAAAACTGACATTACAATTTTCAAAATCTCCCTTTTCGTCGGTCTTCTTATATTTTCCAACAAATCCTTTTCAATTTTGTGGAATTTGGTTTTGAACTCGAAAGTATCATTAATTGGGTTCCAAAATATGCCAAGTACTCTTTCGATATTCTTATCGTTTTCATTTCTCAAAGTTTTCATTCCATCGGCCACTAATTTGGAATCAATATGGTCAATAATTTTGATATCATTCGCAATCCAATTGCAAATCTGAAAACCTGCCTTACTGTGTATATGTCGTAGTCTTTAGTGAAATCAGTCATTTCACGAAACGCCTAGTCATTTATATGAAACTGTGGAACAGTTTACTTTCCAGACCAAGCGATTGGATTCCCTTCCCATTAGAGATCGATTAAATGGTATCCTTTCGATCTAGAAGGGGAAGGGAAAATTACCCACACGTACAAATTTTCAGCGTTTCACTAAATGACTAGGCCTCGGACTAGGCGTTTCGTGAATTGACTGATTTCACTAAAAGACTACGACATATATAAATCACATCTGCAATTAATTTATGGGCTGCTTCAATTGTGTCTGCTCCACCCAAATAGTCATCCATGTAATGCTTCTCTATAATGTCGGGAACAGCATCTGGATGAGTCAGTTTAAACTCTTGTGCATTCTTATTCTTAGCTTCCTGAGCTAAGCAAGGACCACAAGTCGATCCAAAGAAAACAACTTCGATTTCATAAACGTCAGGTTCTCTCGTTCTATCCATCTCTCTGAAAAGGACGCGTTGTGCACTACAGTCGTCTTTCTTAACGCGAACTTGTAAAAACATCTCTTTAATGTCAGCTGTGAACGCATATCTGCAGATCCTGAAGTTAATTAGTATATTAAAGAGAGAGTTATATTTGTCCGGACCTGTCAATAAAAAATCGTTCAAACTGACACTATTACTCTTGGCAGAAGCATCGAAAACAATGCGTAATGTATCAGGCTTATTTGGATTAATTATACCAAAATGAGGTAAATACCAGACTTTGAATTGATCTCCACATACCTCGCTGTTGTTCAATTTTCGTATATACTTCTTTTGCACCAGTTCATCGAATTTCTGACAATATCTTCTGCCATACTCTTCATTTTTGTCCATTTTTCTTTCAGTGCAAATAAGTCTTCTCATCGCATTTTTCTTGCTTTCGGGAAGTACTACATTTTCATCTTTCCAGAGGAGTCCGGTTTCAATTCTTCCTCCTGATCTTGTCATGGTTCTATCCATTATAGACTGAGCGACCATGTCTTCTTTGGACATTGCTTTTTCAAGCTTATATACTCCAGACGAGTCTATTTGCCATTGTTGTTTAACTAAGTCATGTAAAACATCCAAGTCGTCCTTATCTTCACTACTCATGTGACATACGTGACTAGTGGTATGCTTGTTTGAAAATGTGTTAGCAGTCTGGCTTACATTTCCATGAAGTACCCATCCCAGCAGTGTCTTGCTTAAGGCAGGGCCATTCCAAGGTCCAGAAATAATCCTTTTGTTAACTAGTAGGGGCCAATTGTCCTGTCCGATTAGCACCTTAGGTTTTGCATTTGTCATAGACAAAACCCCATTACCTAAGTAAGTAAATCTTTCCATCATTTCTGAACTATTAATGGATTGAGTAGGTAGGGACATTTCTTTCATAGTCCATACACGACGCAATTGATATTTCTTATTCTTTTGTTGTCCGATGATACTGAAACTTACTATTCTTGAATCGTCTTGTTGACGAACTTGATTATTTGTCCACTGAATGGTGAGTGTACGTTGAGGTCCATCCATATGAAGTTCATCAGCTAAGTCTTGATCTATGAGTGTAACTGTGGATGCATCATCCAGTAAAGCATGAGTATGTACATAATTTCCATTTGTATTAATTGTAATAGGAATAATCTTCAATAAAACATTGTTACTTGTTAAGCGATGATAATTAACTTCATGTTGATAACCTTGATTGCTTCTATTATGATTATTATCATTATCTTTATGCAATAATATGTGATGAGGCTTTGTGCATTGATTCTTCCCACATATTTTAATTGATTTGCATGTCCTCAAAGTATGATTAGGTATAAGACAAGAGAAACATATTCTTTGGGATGTGACTACATGCCATCGATCATCAACGCTTAGAGATTTGAACTTTGAACAATTACTAAGATGATGAAACTCATTTCCACAACAAGCACATTTGGGGTTTGTTGTTCTACTATTGTTTGTGGTCAGAGTAACATCTCTCCTATTGTGTTTTTGTTTATCCCTAGTTACATTAGTTACCGTATCTGACAGTTTTGGCATTTCAATTTGACTAACAATCGAAGCCCTATGATCTAACCACGCACTGAATTCTATCAGTTTAGGTTGTTGAACCGTTTTTCTAGAAATATATTCCAGCCAACGTAACTTCTGTGAGGTTGGTAATTTATTTAGTAGTTCTTGAAGTAGAATTGGATTTCGCAAATGATCCTCTTGGTTTAGAGTTTCCATGGTACCTACTACATTTTTGACGTTGTCAGAAAAATTAATGAACATGTCAAGTTTATCTTCTTTCACTACGGGAAAGTTCCTTATTCTATCTAAGAGCATAAAGACTATTAATTCAGGACGGCCAAATCTTTTCCTCAACATATCAATGATTTTATCCGCATTCCTTGGTAATATAAGAAGACTCTCAACAATCGTTCTAGCATTACCTTTCAGGCATTTTTGTAATCTACATTGATTCTCTTCTTTTGTGTAACCACAAATAGCTGTCGAATTTTCATACTGAAATATGAAATTGGGCCACTCTGTGGGATAACCATTAAATATTGGCAAATCTTTTGGCATTGCTTGTCTGGTTATGAATGTTGAGAATTCGACTGGTACTTGAGATTTATTTATTTGTTGGTTACGCAAATTATATTTAGATCCTACCTCAGATGACAAATCCTTTGCAGGTGAAGCATCTCTACGACTATTTATCCATTTTTGTACAAATGACCTATTACTTTCTGACCCACTGTCTACTGATTCAGAATTCCCGTCGACCTCTTCTTGTTCTAACTTGGAGACCTGCATCGCCAATTCTAAATCCACAATCTCTTGCGCCAGTTTCCGCTTCTTTATCTCGGCGTCAATCTTGAGTTGTTGTCTTACGAAACAGTTGCTTTTACTAGATGATTTCCTTGACCTGCACGATTGCGTATCTTCATTGGTTTGAAGAACCTGAATCTCTTCTTGCTTGTCAGGAAGGCTGTCATGTCGTTGTTCAATATGTTTACCCATGGCTTTCACACGTTCACTCCGTCTTGGAAAAGTTAATGATTTTGACATCTTGGTTATTCTATGAATTTCTTGATGCCTTGTCTGAGGGATCAATGTCGTTCACGAGTGCTTCCTCTCTTGGGGAAATTACCAATATGACTATACCCACGTGATGTAACTTGTCGATGTAACAATCACGTACAGCTCCTCTTCTTGAAGGACTAATTACAATCCAAGTGCGGTTCGTTTTCTCGAAGGACCAATGTTATTGACTCTTACCTAATGTGATATATTATATGATCCGGCTCGAAGGACCAATGTTATTGACTCTTACCTAATGTGATATATTATATTGTCCGGGTCGAAGAACAATTTGACAAGAGCTTTTAAATTAAATTTATTATGACGGTTTTTTATAATTTTTTCTAACAACCTTATTTCTATGGCAACATTTTATAATAATTCAGTGAACTTGATACAAATAAATACAACACACCGAGATTTAGTTGAATTGGTTGAATTTGAATGCGGGCACAGAAGTAACCGTTTAACTGAAAATGCGCTGTATTATTTATTGTTCGACTGATTTTCTATTGTATAACTTACATTCATTTATATAAATAAAATAATTAGAGGATTAAACCTCAACACCCAGTTTACACTATGTCATAATGAGCTTTAGGTGCCCAAGGGAGATGATTGAGACTTGATACTTTGATGCCTGGCGTCGCCCGTCTCTCCCTGGTTTAGTAAAACTGTCGTGGTGATGCGTCCCTGGTAGCCACCACTTTTGTTGCCATCGCGCTGGGCCGCGGCATATGCCAAACAATGTAGTGGATTTTGTTAGTGTGTGGAGAGGGGGGGGGGGTGTTCTAACTAGGTGTTATCCTCCCCGAACGAGTACGGCCACAGCTTCGCCACTGGAATATTTGCCTAGAGGGAACTCTGCTTTCTGGTGATAGCTTCTTCTCCGGGCGTTCATTAGTTTCCGATGCTCCTACCTTTGGTCTCGCTTCCTTCCCTGTGTTCCCCCATGTTTTCTCCCCATTTTTATTGTTGTCCTCCTTCTTTCTTCATTTGATGCTTGTCTCCTTCCTCGTGTACCACTATCTGGCTGTTGTATGTATTGACCGCCGCCACTAGTGACTCGTATCCTCCCCAGAATCCCTGCTTTCTGCGGTCCATGAGGTATACTTCGACCTTTTCCGCCATATTCGCATATTGATCATACCCGGGGTCTAGTTCCACCAAAGAGTAAATGGGTACTCTTTGGTTCCACGACGTTTCCTATCAATTGTGGGTACAAATCTTCCAAGTTTTCCCTGATGAATGTGTTGGTTGGTTCTCTAATCCCTCTGGTTTTTTTTCTGTGAGGCCCTCAGTTGATGCCCAATCGCTCCAAATAGACAGTCCCCATCCGCACTTTTTCGGTCATCGCTGTTACTTGTCATTAATGCCAGCCCGTATATTGTGGAGGAGACGTAGCCTTATAAAATAAAATACGATACAGAATAGTTGGGTCTTGCGAGGGAACTAGTTGATTAATTTATCCCGTTATGCCTATCAGTGTAGTGAACTTATTGTCGAGCTCTAAAAATACTGAGGACAGATTGTGTAAACAAACAGGAAAAAAAACACTGAAATTTGGTAAGAAGGGTTAGACCGAAATGTGAGAACTTAAATATTGTGATTTATGGCTCTAGGTTCCTTCGTTAGCTAGCTGAATGAAAGCCAGGCAAGGAATTTCAAATGATCTTGATCCATAGAATTAACCCTTCGAGATTTCTTTATTCTTGCTTAGTTTAGAGCGCACGTTTATGATTCTATTTTAATTGTAAATAACTTTCACCTTGCAATGGAATTCAGTCCTGGAACTGTCCAGATGTCCGGAATTCTATAACCCTGCCGCAGTGTTCCTGGTGCATTTTTCCCGCTGCACTCTTCCCGATGCACCCTTTAGCTGCATTCTTCACACTCACGCACGCGCACAACCGCGCGGATAACGCAAGTACGCGGTTCAATAAATTTAAGCATTTTACATACAGGATGTTCCAACTGCTATTTCCAATGCGTAAACCGAAAATTACGTTGACAACATGTAAATTTTTTACTACAGGGTGGCTGGCTCCCATCTTCAGCATTATTTTAACGTACAGAAACGACCCCTCCCCCACCCTGTAATTTAGAAAATCAATACAACTAACAGAATTAAGGGCTAAACTTCAATACCTCGAATTTTGTATATGGGTAAAATTGCATATAGACCGCTTTGTACGGATAGCAGGCGAGAGTCAGATTATTAACCATGAACATGGGAATCTAGATTATCACGTGGGTGGTTACCAATGTCACAGTGAACTTGACTGCTTCCCTGGTTCCGCTTTGGCCGTGAAAAAAACGCAGGGCAAACAAAAGTATCTGGTGTGATATATGTTGAAATGTGACGGTGCCGCAAAGTTTGCGTTGGGTCCGTTTTGTTTTCCTACGTGGCGAAATGAGGAGACGGGTAGCGACCGTGAAAGCTTTGGCGCGATTTTAATGGTTGGAAGAGGAAAATTGAGCTAAAAAGTAAGGTAAAATAGGGTAATTGACATATCGAAATTAATTTTTCCTTATCATTTGGTACGTAATTAAAGCCCTGCTTTTTTTGGCAGAACTTAAAGTACGTCTATCGTCCTTATGATACACATGGTATAAAATGAAAATATTTATTGATTTTAAAATTACGATTTTTATTTTGTTTAGGTGTAACTTGCCTTTGATCTGTAATGCAACATTGACATAGAAAAATAAAACGGTATTTGAAATTTGAAAATATGTTAGTGTTGCCCCTATGTCAATGTTGGCCCATTTTACCTTAATTAATTAGCGGTCGTGTAGCTACCGTTTAGCTGTAAAATGTGGGTCCTTGAAATAATAACCTTGGAAAGTTATGGAGAGGGAGAGGAGAAGAAGGAGTCACATTAGCATGCCCATACACTGCGCGAAAACGTCACTGCATAAGAATCCCACACATTCAGCATACCACTTCGCGTTTTGGTGGTACACTCACAATGACTTTGATAAGACTGGTTGGTCTACTATAATCGGTTAAGGTTCAATTCACGTTATGCCCGCGCATGCACAAACTTGCAACTTCAAGGTCAGCCCAATTATGATATCCAAACTACATCCATAGGGTTGGTCGCCGGTCAAAATCCACACCGAGTCCTCACAGTTCAATGTCCAAAGGTTGCGCGCCTTTCAAAGTCCATTCCTTACCATTCAAAGTGATGATGTTCTTGAGGTGTGAGATCGAGGTGAAGTTAAAGGTTTCTCGTCCTCTTTTAGAGGTGGTTTAGAAAAGTAGACCAACCTACCGAACAAAGATTGCTTACCACTCTATTCCGCAGCTGTAGATCAAAGTTCAAAGTTGAATTCACATATTTTGTTCTAGATGATCGCTTTCTAAACTAAAGGCCAGATCAATGGCACGTGCATGTATACCCCGGTCAGTGAAATACAGTGAGTAGATAGGGGGGACACATATGCTAGACAGTCACATGACGCCCCAGACAGTGGGGTTCTAGCGCATGTGTTCGAGACACATTTTTGGTGGCTGCCCCAAGATCTGACTTGGGTTAGTGCTCGCATGCGCCAAGTTCGAGGTCATTCGATTCCGTTCTGACGGAAACAGGTTCGTTAAATCAGAAACAGGTCATTTAAACAGAAACTGTAACCGTACCGAATAAAATGACCTTGAACCCATTCGCGAACTGACCGTCGCAGACACCAAACACCGTACTCTAGAATCTTGCTGTCTGGTGCATCATGTGAGTATCTGGTATACCACAAAAACGATATAGTAAAGGTGTGTTTTGCGTCGACGAGTAAAGCACGGAATTAACAGCATAACCGTGTAAATAAAATTGAAGTACCTACATTTTCTGAAATATGAAATAGGGCTTGTTATTAGCATCCCCAGTACGAATAGGTCAACCTAAATCTTTGATCTGGTGGAAGATTGCGATTTCTGCATGAATTAACGGGAAGTTAATTAATCTGGGAGGTGCCGCATTTTTGCCCCACTGCCAATACTGTTACAGATTCTCCATGTCTTATAAAACAGCTGAAATTACCAAATACGCTGACCTTGCCCTAGGGTAATTATCTAGAACGCGTAAATTTCTAGATTTCTATAACGTTTTTAAAGAATATGGATTAGGAGATATTTAAAATTAAGGTGATTTATTTATTTATGATCATATCAAAGCCCCTTTTCATACCACCTCTTATCTGTCCTGCTTCCCCCATCTATTCTGGCGCCTTTTTTTATCCTCCTCTGAGGCTTTACATCAGTTTTCTTTCACTATTTTTTTCAATTTCTGCATCTTCCTCTACAATGTCGCTTTCTCTTCCTATTTCACTTCCTCCCGCTCTTGCCCTCCTTTCTGGATTCACTCTTCTTCGTTTTTAAATGAATTTACAGATTAACTAATGCAAGAAAGTGGAACGAGCGTTTTGACACACTCCCCAAATTACCGCCGCCGCCGTGAGGGAATATCAACCACAAAAGTGACGTGTTTAAATAGTGTGAAGGAATTTAAATAATGAAAAACCAACCCTCGCTTTTTTAAAATTTCAAATACATACGGTGGTCGTTTGCCTTTGTCCATAGCAATCAATAGGTACTGTGTATTGTGTAAATACATCCAGTTTCATATCGGTTGTATGCTAATTGACGACTTTGGTCCATTAAAGCGAAAGGGCGATTCCATCAAGGTAGTGCTGCCGCAATCCCTGATTTAAATATCTGCTTTTAGAGAGAGGGGGTAGATGTGTACAGCAAGATTGTAACACATTGCTGAACATAATCTCGTATGCGATACTAATCTTCGTTTCATTACCTGTAAATAACCTAACTGGAAAATTACAAGGCGCTTGACAGTTACACCGTTACATCAATACGTTATTTCCCTCATCCTTGCAATTGCGATTTATTCACATGAAACTAATATGGAAATATGCTTCGAAAGCTTTGA